CCCACACACACGGCTCACTCACACACACGGCTCATTCTCACTCACATTCTCACACATTCTCGTGCACAGTTTACACTCACGTAGAACAACTCACACACTGCTACACACGCCACTGCCATCTTGTGTGTGCTAAGACGAGGTGAGCCTGATGACGGACGCTTGTGTTGTGCCCGAAACGTCGTGAATCAGCTACCATAATTTGAATATCTTTAATAATAAGGTTTTTCCCCTTTTTATGGCAACAAAACTGAAACCTTATTACAAGGATTCATGTCTGCATTAACCACAATACCTGCAGTCAAAATGCAAACAAAAACATACTATGATAATATATGCATTGTCCTTGAAACTGATTGGTCCACACCAAGGGACGGCTCTCTTTTGAGCCTCGACCCAATTGGTGCTCGACCAGATGACGCCAAAAGGCGTACTGGCAAAAGAGGTCTAATGATGATTGAATATCTTTATTTAATCGGAGCTCTCTTAAGGCTTTTGCTTCATTCGAGCTAATATTTACTTTTGGTACTTTACTATTCTCAATTATTTTGGCAACCTCGTGTCTAGTCATCTCTGCCTCATTATGTGGAAGTAGTCTCACTGCTGATTCTACCTTAGCATTTGAGTTAAATGATGACGTCACTCTGCTGCTGCTCTATTTAAGACGGGGGCAAGAGGAGAGTCTCACCATTCTGGCAAATTGCCCGATGATGCTGGATGTAATTACCAGCGAAATGTTGTACTAAAAATTTTAAGTGATGTTGATTCACTCTTACACACACCGGTGGGCTAAAGTAGTGAACTATTTGTCCTTTGTAAACGTGACACTTTTTATACTGTTTGGCCGTGTCGGGTGGTGGAGGGTTACGACACATTCATAAATAAGTCTATTTATGTGTGTGTTTAAGTCGATGTGTTTGTGTGTGTTAGTCGATGTGTCTGTGTGTGGGTCCATGTGTGTCAGTCGATGTGTGTGTGTGTACGTCGAAAAGTGTGTGTGTTAGTCCATGTGCGTTTGTAAGTTGACGTGTGTGTGTGTGTAAGTCGATGTTTTTGTGTGTGGGTCGATGTGTGCTGATCGATGTGGACCCCCCTAATGGAACATCTTCGCCGGTTAGAAACATTTAGGCTGGCCTGCCTACGATCAATCCTGGGTTTAACCAGGCTGGATTGTGTGAGGAGCTCACAAATCCTCGAAAGATCTAGACAAAGTCCCATCAGTGAGCACCTCTGGCAAGCAAGGCTGTGTTGGCTGGGCCATATAAGCCCGCATTCCCAACGGGCACGGCACCGGCTAGGGAAGAGATGGAGTGACGTGGTACAGGAAGATGTGGAGCTGAGTGGACTTGCCGATGACCGGTACCAGCGGTGTCAAGATCGGCCTCAGTGGAGGAGGCTCGTGAAGGACGCTATTGGGCAGTTGGAGGCAGTCGCCCTCCAACAACAACAAAGGGCGGATGAGCGACACTCACAACAACGAGCGGAGCGCCGGATGGCTAAAGCACAGCAAGTTGGCACAGTAGGGGGCACAGGTGGTGCATCGACCAGTCATCTCGGTCATCTCAGTCGACCCGTGGCACCTAGGTCTGCCCCGTGACCTCCTGCCAGCGGGCGTTCGACACTTCACGTGGCCTCTAGGTGCACATGGCCTGGCACAAGCATCGTGGTGACGTCACCGCCACTTAGTGGTGAATGGCGGTTGTAGTTGTATGTGTGTGTGTGTACAGTGATATATGTGTGTCTGAGTCCATGTGTGTGTATGTGTTAGTCGATATGTGTGTTTGTGTCAATCCATTGTTTGTGTGTAAGTCGATGTGTGTGTGTGACTATGTATGCGTGTGTTTAAGTCCATATGTGTGTGTGTATAGATCGATGTGTGTGTGAGTCGCTGTGTGTGTGCAAGTCGATGTGTGTACCTATGGATAGATGTATGCGTGTGTGTGAGTCGATGTGTGTAAATCCATATGTGTTTGTAAGTCGATTTGTGTATGCGAGTCGCTGTGTATGTGTGTGTGTGCAAGTCGATATGTGTGTGTGGGTCGATGTATTTGTGTGTGTGTAAGTCTATGTGTTTGTGTGTGTGTGGGTCGATGTCTGTGTTTGTGTAAGGCGAGGTGTGTAAGTCGGTATGTGTGTTTGTGTAAGTCCATATGTGTGTGTGTAAGTCGATGTGTGTGACTATGTATGTGTGTGTTTAAGTCCATGTGTGTGTGAGTCGATGTGTGTGTGTGAGTCACTGTGTGTGTGTGAGTCCATGTGTGTGTGTGTCGATGTGTGTGTGTAAGTCGATGTTTGTGTGTTTCGATCGATGTGTGTGTGTGTGAGTCGCTGTGTGTGTGTGTGCAAGCCGATGTGTGTGTGTGCAAGTCGATGTGTGTGTGTGCAAGTCGATGTGTGTGTGTGTGGGTTGATGTATGCGTGTGTGTGAGTCGATGTGTGTGACTGTATGTGTGTGTTTAAGTCCGTGTGTGTGTGTGTGTGTAAGTCGATGTGTGTGTGTGAGTAGCTGTGTGTGTGAGTCCATGTGTGTGTGTGTGAGTCACTGTGTGTGTGCACGTCGATGTGTGTGTGAGTTTATGTATGTGTGTGTCGGTGTGTGTGTAAATGCGGTTTCAGGAAAGGGCGGTCTTGCACAGATGCCACATTTTCTGTCTGTCTGCTACAGCAGAGGTGTAGGGAATTCCAACAAGACCCACATCTCTGCTTTATTGACCTAGTCAAGGCCTATGATACCATTAGTAGGCCTGGGCTGTGGGTTGTTCTTCGTGCTTTCGGAGTCCCTGACCCTCTGCTCACGATAATTAAGGACCTAGATGATGGTGAGCGGGCCCGGGTAAATACTACGTGGCCGGGAGTCAAAGCCATTCTCTGCACACCTTGGGGTGCGACAGGTATGTCCTCTGGCTCCCACATTATTTAACATCTATTTTGACCACGTAATTCGTGAAGCCTTCAATAGCTGTACCGGGGGAATTTCCATTTGGTACAGATATAATGGGAGGCTGATCGATGCCCGGGTGCAGTCAAGCGATGGCTCCCTATTGGTCAACCACGTTATGTATGCCGATGATTTGGTAATTGCCGCTCATTCAGAGGAGGAGTTGGAGACGCTGCTGCTGAAACTGGAGCGTGCCACTAAGAGGTGGGGCCTTACCATCAGCCCCACCAAAACTAAGCACCTGCCTGGGTATTTTGTACCATCGGACACTCCACCCCCACAACTGCCAATTGGTGATGGGGCAGTTATGGAGAGCGTGGAGAGTTTCCCATTCCTGGGCAGTGTGCTCATGACCGGCTCAGGTTTAACAGCAGAGGTCTCACTCCGAATCAGTCAAGCTGCAATATCTTTTCATTGGTTGCGTAACGTTGTGTGGAAGCTATCTGGTCTGTCGCTCCTCACGAAGCTTTAGGTCTTCTCGGCCACGGTCATTCCCTCCCTTCTCTATGCTTGCGCAATGTGGACCCCCCTAATGGAGCATCTTCACCGGTTAGAAACATTTAGGCTGGCCTGACTACGACCCATCCTGGGTTTAACCAGGCTGGATTGTGTGAGGAGCTCATAAATCTTTGAAATATCTGGGCAGAATCTCATCGGTGAGCTCCTCCGGCGGGCAAGGCTGCGTTGGCTGGGTCATGTAGCCCGCATGCCCGATTACCGCATGCCTAAACAGCTTTTGTTCGGCCGGATAGGTGGGGCCAATGGGTGCGGCACGGGCTAGAGAAGAGATGGAGTGATGTGGTACAGGAGGACATGGAGCTGAGTGGACTTGCCAATGACTGGTACCACCGGTGTCAAGATCGGCCTCTGGAGGAGGCTCGTGAAGGACGCTACTGGGCAGTTGGAGGCAGTCGCCCTCCAACAACAGAGGGCGGAGGAGCGATGCTCACAACAACGAGCGGAGCGCCGGGTGGCTAAAGCACAGCAAGTTGCACAGTAGGGGGCACAGGTGGTACATCAGCCAGTCGTCTCAGTCAGTCAACCCGTGGCACCTGGGTCTGCCCCGTGACCTCCTGCCAGCGGGCATTTGACACTTCACATGGCCTCAAGGTGCACATGGCCTGGCACAAGCGTCGTGGTAACATTACCGCCACTTAGTTGCGAATGGAGGTTGTTGTTGTGTAAGCCCATGTGTGTGTGAGTCTGTGTGTGTGAGTCGATATGTGTGCGTAAGTCCATGTGTGTGTGAGTCGATGTGTGTGGGTTAGTCAATGTGCGTGCGTGGTGTGTGTAGACAACTAATATTTAACAATTAAGTTCGTATTTTTTGCAATAATGTGTGTGTCTGAGTCCATGTATACGTGTAATTCGATGTGTGTGTATGCGTCCATGTATGTGTGTAAGTCGATGTGTTTGTGTGTGTGGGTGTAAGTCCATGTGTGTGTGTGTGAGTCGCTGTGTTTGTGTACGTCGATATGTCATCGTGTAAGTGGATGTGTGTGGCTCTATGTGCATTTGCGAGTCGATGTGTGTGCGTGCGCCCATGTGTGTGTGCTAGTCAATATGTGTGTGTGTAGGAGCATATGTGTGTGTGTGTAGGACAATGTGTGTGTGAGTATGTATGTGTGTGTGAGTCCCTGTGTGGGTGTAAGTTGATGTGTGTGCGTGTCTTTTTCGCCCGGGCAATGCTGGGCACTTCCCACTAGTTCATAATAAATGTTTCTGGGTTAGATCGCATAAATATAAATGTGTCGTTAACACACCACCACCCGACACAGCCAATTAGTAAGGTTTGTCACTTGAACAAAACGCGTCAGTTGCTAGTTCAGCACATTGGTGTGTTGGAGAGTAAAACCCACAACATTTACATTGAGTACTGTGACGTTTCGCTGGTGATTGAAATCAAGTTCATAAGGCGATATGCCAGCTTTATCAAGCGATTTGCTTCACCAAGCGACTAAATATAAGCCACATTCTCGGAATCAACGGAGCCTGGAATATAACGAATGAGCAACAAACTCTATTGCATTCCTCTTGCTGTTTGGGGTTGTTTTCTTTTTTTCAGGACTGAAATAAACTAAAAACGGTTGAAATCGTGAATTCTTGAATGGAAATTGAATGTCACCCTGGAGCAAGATCATCACGCTGCTGATAGCACTCCTTGTAAGATGTACGTAGACCACATTTGGTCACATTGTTGTACCTTTTACATCCGTTTACTGAGAGAAAGACACCAGGTAGCATGGTGCGGATGCGGTATCTGTCACAGTGAATACATTGTTGCGGTGATATTGCTGATGGTCCTGCTGCTGCCAGTGATGCTGCTGATGTTTATAGATTCTGATGGTGATCCTGATGATGTGTTAGTGTGTCTGCTATAAGCACGTACTGTCTGTTTGATTGACGATTATAATGTATGTATGATGATGTACATATATATGACCATAACACTCATAATGATTTTCGATTTAAAGCTTTCGTGACTGCAAGGATTAATCTTCTTTGGTTCTTTCGGTAAAGTCACGTAGAATGAGAATAAAATAATAAATTGCTAAAATAAAATAACACAATAATATTCTTACGACGTTTCGGCCACAACACAAGCGGCCTTCATAAGGTGAAGGGACGAGACTGTCTGGAGGACAGCGCACCTGATGAAGGCCGCTTGTGTTGTGGCCGAAACGTCGTGAGAATATTATTGTGTTATTTTATTTTATCAATTTATTATTTTATTCTCATTCTACGTGACTTTACCGAAAGAATCAAAGAAGACTCATAATGATATATATATAGATGGTGCTGATGCTAATTATGTATAGAGATGTTGCTGATAATCTACAGTGAGGGAAAAAACGTGTTTGATCCCCTGCTGATTTTGTATGTTTGCCCACTGACAAAAAAAATGATCAGTCTATAATTTTAATGGTAGGTTTATTTGAACAGTGAGAGACAGAATAACAACAACAAAAAATCCAGAAAAACGCATGTCAAAAATGTTATAAATTGATTTGCATTTTAATGAGGGAAATAAGTATTTGACCCCTCTGCAAAATATGACTTAGTACTTGGTAGCAAAACCCTTGTTTGCAATCACAGAGGTCAGACGTTTCTTGTAGTTGGCCACCAGGTTTGCACACATCTCAGGAGGGATTTTGTCCCACTCCTCTTTGCAGATCTTCTCCAAGTCATTAAGGAATCGAGGCTGACGTTTGGCAACTCGAACCTTCAGCTCCCTCCACAGATGTTCTATGGGATTAAGGTCTGGAGACTGGCTAGGCCACTCCAGGACCTTAATGTGCTTCTTCTTGAGCCACTCCTTTGTTGCCTTGGCCTTGTGTTTTGGGTCATTGTCATGCTGGAATACCCATCCACGATCCATTTTCAATGCCCTGGCTGAGGGAAGGAGGTTCTCACCCAAGATTTGACGGTACATGGCCCCGTCCATCGTCCCTTTGATGCGGTGAAGTTGTCCTGTCCCTTTAGCAGAAAAACACCCCCAAAGCATAATGTTTCCACCTCCATATTTGACGGTGGGGATGGTGTTCTTGGGGTCATAGGCAGCATTCCTCCTCCTCCAAACACGGCGAGTTGAGTTGATGCCAAAGAGCTCCATTTTGGTCTCATCTGACCACAACACTTTCACCCAGTTGTCCTCTGAATCATTCAGATGTTCATTGGCAAACTTCAGACGGGCATGTATATGTGCTTTCTTGAGCAGGGGGACCTTGCGGGCGCTGCAGGATTTCAGTCCTTCACGGCGTAGTGTGTTACCAATTGTTTTCTTGGTGACTATGGTCCCAGCTGCCTTGAGATCATTGACAAGATCCTCCCGTGTAGTTCTGGGCTGCTTCCTCACCGTTCTCATAATCATTGCAACTCCACGAGGTGAGATCTTGCATGGAGCCCCAGGCCGAGGGAGATTGACAGTTCGTTTGTGTTTCTTCCATTTGCGAATAAACGCACCAACTGTTGTCACCTTCTCACCAAGCTGCTTGGCAATGGTCTTGTAGCCCATTCCAGCCTTGTGTAGGTTTACAATCTTTTCCCTGACATCCTTGGAGAGCTCTTTGGTCTTGGCCATGGTGGAGAGTTTGGAATATGATTGATTCATTGCGTCTGTGGAGAGGTGTCTTTTATACAGGTAACAAGCTGAGATTAGGAGCACTCCGTTTAAGAGTGTGCTCCTAATCTCAGCTCGTTACCTGTGTAAAAGACACCTGGGAGCCAGACATTTTTCTGATTGAGAGGGGGTCAAATACTTATTTCCCTCATTAAAATGCAAATAAATTTATAACATTTTTGACATGCGTTTTTCCGGATTTTTTTGTTGTTATTCTGTCTCTCACTGTTCAAATAGACCTAGCATTAAAATTATAGACTGATGATTCTTTGTCAGTGGGCAAACGTACAAAATCAGCAGGGGATCAAATACTTTTTTTCCTCACTGTATGATGTATATAGATGATGATAATGATGCTGATGATGTATTTTGTTAATTATGATATTTTGATGATGCTATTAAATGTATGATAATATCTACTATATAGATGATGATGATAATTAAGGACGAACCTGATGCAGTTGTGGTGGCTGTCCGTCTGCATAAAAGTACTGCACACGCTGAGTATTTGACTCCTACTGCCCACAGATGCCCGCGCTGCAGGAGAACTCGCCGTCCACACAGACATGGAGGTTGCCATCAAGGAGGGCAGCGACGCTCTCCTGTCGTGCACCTACGACTGCACGCCCCACGGGGACAACCACACGGTGGTGCAGTGGTGGAGAGTTAAAGAGGGTAACGTTGAACAGGCAAGGCATTGTCTCGTGGACCCAGTCCTGAAGCCTCACTGAGAGCGTCCAAATGCTCGCTGAGCTCCATTGGGTTTATGTTACTGAACAAATAAATTGTTATGAGGTCACACTCATTATACACAAAGTGCTTGCCACAAATGAACCACAATCACCTTGCTGATCTCATCAAGAAGCGTAAACCTTCATCACGCGAACTCCGGTCATCCTCGCAGCAGCGGCTTTTGGATAACCATCGAACAAAGACGGCCACTGCATCGCACGCTTTTAGATGTGCTTTTGCTGCCGTCTGCAACACTCTTGCTTCCTATATTAGGAAGCCACTAGAGCTGTGCACTTTAAAAGCTAGATTGAACACTCAGTTTGTTGTCCTTCCCCCGCACCTCTGATCATCACGGTTGGCTATGTACGGTGTGAAAGAAGTTCAACATACCACATACTCACAGAGTGTGAGCATGGGGCTGGGTCTCTATAGCAATGACTTGGCTCCCACAACATTAATTACATCAGAGGTGAGCATCGCGAGCATCGCGCCAGGCAGATAAAACACAGAAAGTTGGCGCAGGTGGTGCATCTGCCAATCATCTCAGTCAGTGAACCCATTGCACCTGCTGGGTCTCCTGTCAGCGAGCCTTTGACGCTTCACGTGACCTCAAAGCCCATCTTGCCTGGCACATTTAATGGAAAATAATTTTAGGATAACGTTATAGGTCTCTAGTAACATAACTAAAAGAAAAACGAATGCAAATTATTAACACCAACTAAATTATGATAAAATGTTGTGCCTGACATGCAGGCTCAAAAGTGTACATATTCCCAGTTACGGGTGCAGCCTGGGACCCTTAACTCAGCCCTCCCACCCATTGGGTGTTTTCATTACATCTAGATTTGAAGTTTTCGTGACTGCAATGATCCATACTCTTTGGTTCTTTCGGTAAAGTCACGTAGGTAAAAAATAAAATAAAAAATAAATTAATCAAACCACAACGTTTCAGAAGCAACACAAGCTTCTGTCATCAGGCGGGACAACCACAGCAAAAACATTTTTTGTAGTGGGTAAATACACGTGATTTCATTTTTTTTTTTAGCTACGTAACTTTACCGAAAGAACCAAAGAGTATGGTGCAAAAGAAGTTCAAGATGCATAGAAAGGCCCTTCCATCAGCAGTGACCTCATAAAGCAATTACAGGTGTGTTGCATCATTCTATTGCAGTGTGATATCATTACTTTTTCTCTGACGTCATTGTTTCTGAACATGGCTGCTGATATCTGACACGAGTACACTGTTCCTTCTATTTCCCGTTTTCCTTTTCCATTCGTAGGTTTTCATCAGAAACGGCAAGGAGGTGAACAACCACCCCCGAGTTCAATGGATGGGCAACCTGACCACGTGCAATGCTTCCATTGTGATGCGCGAGGTGCTGTTGGAAGACTCGGCTCGGTATCGCTGCGACGTCTTCCGCATCCCCTCCTTCAACGAGGGGGGCAGCGTGGTGGAGCTGCACACGTTACCCTCCACAGGTGACCTAATGAGTCTTCATCGTCCTCATCATCATCATCACCTACAACCCTCCCCCTGGTGGCTAAAGCTACGATTTGGGGCCCCTTTGACAACCACCATAATATGTTTTTAACAACAGTGTAAAAGAACAACAACACATTTAAACGCGGTTGAAATGTATTTTAGATTTGAAGCTTTCGTGACTGCAAGGATCCATACTCTTTGGTTCTATTCGGTAAAATCACGTAAAAGTATAAAACAACTAAAAATAAAAAAATAAAAAAATCACGACGTTTCGGCCACAACACGTGGCCTTCATCAGGTGAAGGGACCAGACTGTCACGAGGACAGCACTGGAGTGAACACAGCCAAGCTCAGACCGCGACCATTAAGCTTATGTGAGAGGAATTAAGGTGCTGGCTAGGGGGCTAAATTTTGCTGTCACCCCAAAACACATACCAGTAGATGATATCATCTCTCAGGTCGATGTAGCCCTCAAAGGCGTAGGACACATCCAAGCAGACGTTGTGAGAGCTGAAATAGCCACTATTCTTAAGAATGCTAAGAAACCCATTAGCAACATCAGCAAAAATGAACGCTCTGAACTCGCGAATTTAAAAAACAGATGTGACATAGTCATCCTCTCAGCCGATAAAGGCAACGCTACTGTAATTATGGATAAAGAATCATGCTCAACGATGGAAGTTACTCAAAAATTAAAAATGACCCTACTAATAGCCTAGCGATAAAAACCAACAAGATCATCACAAGTTCGACCTCCCTAACCGACCCAACTAAACGTCCCTCCCTAAAACCTTCTGCTGCAAGACCCCCTAGATTCTATGGTCTTCCCAAGATTCATAAAGAAGGCACCCCACTACGACCCATCGTATCCACGATCAACTCCCCTACCTATAGACTAGCCCGTTTTCTGTCAGATACCTTGCTGCCTTTCACTGGCAAGACTGCCTCAGCAGTACTTAACTCAGCCCAATTGGTCTCTATGGTCAAAGACGTTGTACTGTCCCCTGACGATATCCTTGTCAGCTTCGATGTGGTCTCTTTGTTCACCAAGGTCCCAGTACCTGATACCATTGAAATAATTGAAAATTTGGTCCAACATGGACGAGACCTCGATACACCTGCACTGGTTAGGCACTACCTCAACAATACCTACTTTACTTGGAATGGCTCCTTCTACAAACAAAATGAGGGTACCCCCATGGGATCCCCCTTGTCACCAGTGATAGCCAATATTTTGATGGAGAAATTTGAATCAGACGCCATCCAGACTTCCACCCTCAGACCTTCCCTGTGGAAGAGATATGTAGATGACACTTTCGTCATTTGGCCACATGGCCTCCCGGCTTTGAACCTTTTCCTAGACCACATTAATTCCAGACACCCCGCCATAAAATTCACCATGGAAGTGGAGAAAGATGGCAAGCTGCCATTCTTGGATGTTCTGTTTGAGAGGAGACCTGATGGCTCATTGGGACATTCTGTCTACAGGAAACCCACCCACACAGATTCCTACTTGAAACCTGATTCCCACCACTACCCGACGCAAAATAATTCTCTCATCAAAACGTTATACCACAGGGCTCATTGCATTTCGGACCAACACCACCTGACCAGTGAATTAAAACATGTGCATCTGGCCCTCAAAAGGAATGGATACTCTGACCGTACCATCTGTTGTATATGTGGGTGTGTGAAAATTGATGAAAAATAATTAAAATTAAATGAAATTCAAAATTTGCATAATTAATCCAAATTATGTTAATTCGTGTAATTATGCGTGTAACTATGCTAATTAGAGAGGTAATCGTATTAATTTATACGAGTGGGTGTGGTTGTGTTAATGATAGCCTTTATGATAATCAGGTCCTGCCTCGTTGACGAGGTGGGGTTATCAATCAGGATAGCGCAATCAATCGTGTGCAGTTACGCTAGTATCAATTCGGCCTCGTTGTCTAACTTCGTATTATTGATCAGCATAATACAATGATTCTCGCTTTAACACTCCCCGAGTGTTCATATTTTAGGTCCCAAGTTCATATCATTCGCTTTAAAGTTTAATGAGTGTGGATTGGTGTGTTTATAGTTTAGGTTCCCGAGTTCATATCTCGTCGCAGGATACAGATCTTATGCAAAAATTTCAGGAATCACACGACCACTTCTGTATTAATCAATTTATTTTCTAATTAAACTATAATATGTATGTGAACTCTCAATCTCGGAACTTCAACACGGTATCCACACGGTATCAAGACAGTATCATCAACGACTGTACGATTTCACTTTGATAACACATGGACCCCGCATAAAGCGATTGCTGTTAGTGAGAGAGAGAGTCAGGACATGTAAATGCTATGCTACACAAAAGCTTATACATTATAATATGAACGATCATTATGCTTGAAATGGTCAGCACATTATCACAGGCGATTGATTAACATGCACGGTATTCATATAAAAAGACAAACAGTTATTATTTCCAAAGGCATAAATGTAACAACAGATCCACCGGACAGACTATAAGATTACCGAAATGGCTTAGTGTGAGGTTATGCGGCGGAACGTGTTATCTCACGGGAGATTAATTAATTAATTCGTGAATAAGATTGTATGATCAGAAAATCGGTTTAGCACGATTCCTCCCCGGGAGCGTAGCTCCGTGGCGAAGGTTCCAAGGGTTAATTCGTATTGATGGATCGGTTGGTAACTTATGCGATTAGAAGTACAGTCCAAAACAAAATATTAAAGAGGGAAACTATGAATATACTTATAAATGACGGACTGTTATCACACAATCGATGCTTCCACAGCCAGATGGTTCACGGACTTGAGTGTTCGCTTCTGGTTAAGGACCCGTGTATGTTTGAGTGATATGAATTGTTTTGAATAGTCAGTGTTTGGAATTAATTATTTGCGTTGCCATATGCTGAAGTTGGCATCGCTTGTAGGAGAAGTAACCTCGCTCCCTTTAGAGCGGTGAGGTGTGTGGGAGTGCGTCATACGAATCACCGCCCTCCTCCACACAGCAGCCAGCCTCCGTCCACGGGGGAGAGTTGCTTGATCGCTCTCAGTGCTGCTCAGTGGACACCTCTCTCCACTGCTGGATGAGCTGCGCGATCACGCTCGTGCTGGTTCGCTGACAGCAGTTTCTCTCCGCTGTTGGATGAGCTGCATCGGCACGCTCCCTCTCGCTGAGTGGAGAACTCGAACGTGCTCGTTGCTGGTTTGCTGAAAGCAGGTTTTTCTCCACTGCTGGATGACTCAAGTCGCACGTGCTCTTGCTCTGGTTTGCAGAAGCTCTTGCTTGGTGCGTCGGTCGCTCTGCAGCTGGACTCAATGTAGAATAATCTTTCAGCAATACTCTGTCTTTCAGCTCTTGGAAATCACACTAGGTGACGCCTCGCTACCCTGCGAGTCTTGCCAACGTCAGTGGGTAGCGACGGGGCCACTTTGGCTTCTGCTCGCCGCCCCCTGCTCTGCAGCTCGCCGGCTGGCGACCTGTTGCTCTCGTTCCCGATTGAAACTGCTCCTGAGCCGACCCACTGGTCGAACTCCCCGCGTTCCGACCTCCTCCGAGTCGAACTCCCCGAGTTCCGACCCCCCGGTCGAACTCTGGTGAGCCGACCCCCCCCGGGTCGAACTGTCTCCCGAGAGTCGACACCCCGGTCGAACTCTGGTGAGCCGACCCCCTCCTGTCGAACTGTTCCGAGTTGCTCCTCCGAGTCGAACTGTCTCCCGAGAGTCGACCCCCCCCCGGTCGAACTCTGGTGAGCCGACCCCCCCCGGGTCGAACTCTGGTGAGCCAACCCCCCCCGGGTCGAACTCTGGTGAGCCGACCCACTCCTGTCGAACTCTTCCCCCCAGTTTCAATGCTCAGGATCCTCTTTTTATGCCCAAAAATCCCTTCACTTGGATCCTGCCCACAAGGCGAGGTTTCTTTCGATTTTTGCTGTGTCAGAATTTGTCCGTATGTATCTGTGTCCGTGTGTGTCCGTACGTGTGTCAGTGTGTGTCCTTGTGCATCACCCACGGTATATTCCGTTGTCATACTCCTACCATCAAACCCACAAGTAAAACAATCAAATGTTATAAATTGTCTCGAAGGCGCCTCTCTGTCTGGGTGCACAACCTGGAGGGAGGGGCGATATTCCCTCCGACTTTCACCGACACACAGAGAAATGGTTAAGAAGTTTTAAGTTAACATTTCATTTCATCAGAGTTCCATAGTCATGATTCTGTATTAATCCAAGGTCTGAGTCAGCTTCTCGTTGTGGTGTTTGACTCGTGTTTCCCCAAGCGTATACACACTCCTACCCCGCGCTGCAGGGATACAAAGACGGCCGGGATTTCCCTTTCTCTCCGACCCTGGGTTTAACATCGCCCTTTGCTTACGTTGCAGTTTTGCTGTGCGCTTGCATTTCTTTTCCTCTCTACTCTTACTTTAACCCTGCTTATTATTTGCGTATGGGTGGAGGCTAGAGCATTTATGTTGACTTAGGAAAACCTGATTGTTATAGGCTTCTGGTCAAGTCGTATAGAAATTATAAAAATATGGAAATACATTTAATGTTAAACCAATAGACGGGTGATGGTTACATTGACGTAGCTTGTGGCAGGGTTCAATTGAAGTGGGTGTGAAGATCAATAACTTTAGCCTACCCTGTTGTTAAATTCCGACTTTAAGTTACTTTAATAGTAATGCAGAACCAATTAGCTTTTTTGACTTAACTAGATCTAGGCTAACGCAACCTCCCAGTGACCCTGGCTTTGTGTTTACGTCAGCCCTTTGCAATCCACTGCGCTCTGCTCTCTATCTGCTCCCTCTGACCCTGGGAGGGCTCTGAACGTCAAAATCGTGTTGGTGGGTCAAGGTAAATATGACCTCCACATGCCATGCTGAGGCCTGGTTTGGTGTTTTTATTCATTATTAAAATTAAAAGAAACAATAGAAATATGTATCTATATGTATTGAAAAAATACTTGTTAATATTAAGATGGAAAGGGGGGCATATACAACACATCCGCCAAGCTGTTTCTCCCTCCATACAGAAACAACCACTTGATACTCCGATCAAAACCATCACACTGCCATATATAGCAGGCGTTACTAAAAAGATCTCCAAAATTCTAAACAAACACAAGATTCTGGTCCGGTTCAATACAGTACACAAAATCCGTGACCTGATCCCTTCCGTGAAGGATGTCATTCCTGACTTACAGTACCCCGGAGTTTATAGATTGATCTGCACCTGTGGTGACTGCTATATCGGGGAGACGAAACGACATGTCTCTGACCGAATTCGCGAGCACAAATCAGAATTGAAACACGGCACAACGAATTCTTCTGCCGTAGCTGATCACTGTTACAACGCTGTGGGTGATCATGATATAATTTTCTCCGATACCAAGGTTCTTTGCAAACCCACGGGTTTTTATCAGAGATTTGTTCAAGAGGCAATTCAGATTTACAAACACAGACACAATTTCAACCGATAAGGTGCTTTCAAATTAAGCAACCATTGGAAAGATGTTCTAAATCTAACCAAACATTAAACTAATTTTCAATGGTACAGTATATTTTTTCAAGTAGTGGTATCCCAAACTTTCGCAGCTGCTTAAATTCCCTTTTCACACCATCAATATGTAAACTCCCCCTCCCCCCCTCGCCGGTCTGCACATGTTCACCCCTCTACACCGTTCATCATGCTAAGTCCGCCAATTAAATGCTAATTTTTATGCTAATCCCTTTGTCAAGGCACCTTAATTCCTCTCACACAAGCTTAAAGGTCACGGTCTGAGCTTGGCTGTGTTCACTCCAGCGCTATCCTCGAGATAGTCTGGTCCCTTCACCTGATGAAGACCACTTGTGTTGTGGCCGAAACGTCGTGATTTTTTTGTTGTTTTATACTTTTACGTGACTTTACCGAATAGAACCAAAGAGTATGAAATGTATTTGTTATGAAAATTATATCATTTACATACCACATTTGATCTTAATTCAGTTAGAGCAGTAACATAATATTGCAATGAGGTACCACTACGGGGCTGTAGTGGCTGCATTTTGTGAAGACGGAGCGCCCCTATGATGTTAAATGTTTCAAGACCATGAGCATAACGATTATGTGATTAGGGCAAGAGGAGCCGCGATAGAATACCCTGGGTGCGACAGTGCGAGACAAATCAAATATTGGGGCCCCACCGATTGCCGCATTCCCTGAGCTGATAATGTAGTTACTACACCAATGCCTACTACACCACTAACTGCCAACTACTGCCAACATCATAATTGTCTTAATTTATTCATCTCTCACCCTTAATAATAGCATAGTATGTCGTAATAGTAATGCACTCATATTGTATCTTTGTCAGAGTACTAGCAGTATTCACACAATGTCGTTTAACTGTAACGCGGAATGCGCACAATTATGACGCGGAACGTGTGGTCGTTATAACACAAAAAGCACATCATTATAATGTAGAATTTGCCCGCTGTTATAACGCAGAATGTGCACCATTATATCAACGTACACACACCGTTATAACGCGGTATGTACACGTTATAATACGGTACATACCGTTATAATGTGGAATTTGCACCGTTATAACACGGTTTCTGAGCAGTCCATGATGAACTCCTTTCTTGAGCTGTGCAGCTGAGCGGTGCAGTGATACAGTAACGCCGAACGATACAGTAACGCAGTAGCTGTGTAACCCTCATCTCATTCTCTGTGCTGCCATGGGATGACTGCGGCCCGAATGTTTTACAATGCAGCTGTGATTCAGCACAGTTATTCCTCGCGTAGTGCTTTTTCTCTGAATATGGCAATTTTGAGGAACTCATCTATTGCTCGAAACGAGGAATTACTTTACAGGGTGGTCCAGATGTCTTGTGTCCCCCATTTAATTCTCTAAAACATAATATATTTGTGGTATACCAATGGGTGTGAAAGCAAAAGTGAGTAAGCAAAGGAAACACATTTTAGGGGTAAATTAATTGGGTGTCACAAACCTTCTGGAACCACCCTGTGCAGTAATAGTGGCCTGGTGGCACTGACACCAGAGTGGCGAGCTGGTTACCACCGAGATCCTAGGTTCAAATTTAGACAACCTTAGGTGATTAAACCAGGTTCTTAAATGTATTGAGTTATGGTTCTAAAGATTGGTCTCAAATAATAACATAGTGACTCAGACACACGTAGAGAACCATAGACTCACAGAGGTCCATAGACTCACCCAGAGATCCAGATACTTTCAAACACCTGGTTACGTGATTATAGTACTTTTTTCCTTGACAATTTAAAAACAAATTACGTGTATCACAGTGCCTGTCATTTAACAATGATTGCTTTTTGTAAGTGCAGGTGGAAAAGTGCTTTTTACCTACTGGGAGAATCAGGGACCACTTGAAGCGATCTCAGGAGTAGATCTGCAATCGCCTTTTTCGTGACAAATCTTTGAGAAACAAAAGGGTTGCAATTCTCAGTGAGAGATCAGAATCGGTAAATCGTCCAATTAAATGATGCCATCAAGCAAAGAGGGTTATATTCTTTGGTTCTTTCTGTTCTTAACCTCGGTGAGCGTACTGACACTCTATAATGTAGACTGTAGGCTGGTTCTTAACCTCGGTGAGTGTACTCGCAGTCTATAATGTAGACTGTAGGCTGGTTCTTAACCTCGGTGAGTGTACTGGCAGTCTATAATGTAGACTGTAGCCTGGTTCTTAACCTTGGTGAGCATACTAGCAGTCTATAATGTAGACTTATTCTTGGTTCTTTCGGTAATAAAAACATAAAAACCACGACATTTCGATCACAACACAAGCGATCGTCTTCAGGAGGAAAGAGGGGGAAGGTCACCGAAGGCAACCGTTTATAAAGGTTTCAAAAATGGGCGTGGCACAAGAGCACAAGGGCGCAATGAAGTGGGCGGGGCATATGTGCCCTGGGGTCAGAGAGCACCAATGTGAAGCACAGAACATGAAGGTTAAGAACCAGGCTAGAGTCTACATTATAGACTGCCAGTACGTTCACTGAGGTTAAGAATCAGGCTACAATCTACATTATAGACTGCCAGTACGCTCACTGAGGTTAAGAATCAGGCTACAGTCTACATTATAGACTGCCAGTACACTCACCAAACTTAATAACCAGGCTACAGTCTACATTATAGACTACAAGGATACTCACTCCGATTAAGAACCAGGCTAGAGTCTACATTAATGTTTTTTTTGTTTTTTATTACTTTTATCACTTTATTTTTATTATTTTTCTATCTAAGTGACTTTACCGAAAGAACCAAAGAATATGAATTCCTGCAGTCACGAAAGTTTTAAGTCAAAATCAAGGAGGGTTACCACATCGTGCACTTTCAGATATGCTTCTGCGGCCATCTGGAATGCTCTTCTGATATTAGGAAGTCACCAAAGCTTTACACTTTTATTTCATCTAGATTGAAAGCTGATTTGTTTAGAACTGGTTGTTATTGTGTCTAAGTTGTTGTCCTTCCCCGCACCTCTGATTAGTACAGTTGGCTATGTATGGGGCAAAAGAAATTCAACTTACTAACAATAGCACAATTATGGTAACAGTGGATAAAAACAGATGAACATTAAGATATACAATACTTTTAAATGTTACATTCAAACCTAAGCAATGTTGTTGTCACGTGTGTACCTGTTCTTGTGAAGAACTCATCATCTACGCACCAACTGAAGAGACCACCATTGTTGGAAACGATGTTCTTCTGAAGTGCACCTACTTCTGCAAAGGCCCCAGGGACAAGTTCACGCTGGTGCAGTGGTGGAGAATTAGAGACGGCAGGGACGAGAAGGTAGCGTCTTCGCGTGGTCAGATAAGGGAATGTTGAACTTTATTGACATCAGAGTTAAGGTTCGTGTATTTGCAACTTGTCGCAGAGGTTCACGGTTCGATGCACTGCCCTTCCTGAATAATAATGTGGTTGTGTTCACTCTTTTCTGTTCCGATAATGTACGTGTACATCATAAAAGTTAAGCCGGAAAAAAATGTAATAACTTTTTCGGTACCGATCCTTCCACAAGGCCATGCCAGGAGGGTGTGTGGCACAATTCTGCACCAGCTATATCATAGGGTGCGGTAATGTCGCTACGGTTATCTATATAAAATTGACTCTGAGCCACTTGCACGTTCCGAGATTCAGAGGTGAGCGGGACACCTACACCCTGCAACTTGCAGTCGTCTACTGTAAAGTAGCTATCGCTACTTTACAGTAGTGGTAAAAAAAATCCCGTTGACATTCTTTAAACAACAATAAAATGTCAGTCAATGTGTGCCGGCATAATGTTTTCCAATTTTAATATTTGAACAAAAGGTTATGGTCATCAGGAAAGTATCTTGAAAAGAGAGGTATTTCGATGTCCGAATAGAACGATAATGGTAAAATGATTTATCATGGTGTTACAGGGTTCCCAGTCAACTTAACATTATTTTACTAGGTAAGGCTCACTGATATAAATAGCTATTTTTCAGATGCGACCTGGCCATAAATGGATAACTCAACGAAGTGGCTTATCACGTGGACGTTTATAGCAGCCAAATACTCCGCGTGATGTTGATTCTAAATGTGGAGGGAACACCGGAGGACCCGGAGAAAAATGCACGTGACCACGGGGAGAACATGCAAACTCCAAATATACAGGCGTCAGGGTCAGGATCGAACCCACGAAACTCATGTATACAAAGCGAGGTAGTTAATATCTCGCCACTGTGGCGACCTTAAGTTTTGTGCACCTTGCAATTCTCCAGGCAATATTAAGGGTTCTAATGAGATGAGTGGCGTCCGGGTTGGACCATGGTGGTTGCTTGCCTTAAACATCAATTTATTTAGTAGGTGGGGTAGGGGGTGGTGTTTGTATATATATTTGTACGTAGGAATTAATGTTTGGGGGGTAGCGCGCTGGGCTATGAACCCGGCGTCCCGAGTTTGATTCCAGCTATAATCTGAACCGGTCCTGGGCCTCCCCTAGGTCCACTCAGCCTCAAAGAAATACCTGGTGTGCTGTGTAAACATCGCCGCTGGGGAGACAAAGGCGGCAGGCGTGCTGCTAGCCACCCATTCCCTTGTGTGCTGTGCCAGCGTTCATAGGTGCTCGGTAACAGCAATGTTGAACTTCTTCTTTGGTTCTTTCGGTAAAGTCACGTAGAATGAGAATAAAATAATAAAATAATATTTTAAAATAACACAATAAAATTTTCACGACGTCATATAGTAAACCGATGTGAAAATACCTAAGTCTAAATTACATCGATATAATAAATATACTCAATATATCCTTATTATATTGTATTGATGTAATTGATGTAATTTAGACTTAGGTATTTTCACATCGGTTTACTATATGATAGTCGAGTTGTTGCAGCCCCTTTGGCGTCCATGTACTGGGTGCCTCTGTAGATGTGTAGGCTTTGACTTTAACATAGCTATTTCTATGACCAGTCACAAGCTAATCCATCAGTTATTTCAATGCCAAATTCTCATGTTTGATTTGTACTAGGTGCCTCTGTGGATGTGTAGGCTTTGACTTTAACATAGCTATTTCTATGACCAATCACAAGCTAATCTCTCAGTTATTTCAATGCTAAATTATCCTGTTTGATTTGTACTAGGTGCCTCTGTGGATGTGTAGGCTTTGACGTTAACATAGCCATTTCTGTAACCAGTCACAAGCTAATCACTCAGTTATTTCAATGCTAAATTCTCCTGTTTGATTTGTACTAGGTGCCTCTGTGGATGTGTAGGCTTTGACTTTAACATAGCTATTTCTTTGACCAGTCGCAAGCTAATCAGTCAGTTATTTCAATGCTAATTTCTCCTGTTTGATTTGTACTAGGTGCCTCTGTGGATGTGTAGGCTTTGACTTTAATATAGCCATTTCTGTGACCAGTCACAAGCTAATCACTCAGCTATTTCGATGCTAAATTATCCTGTTTGATATGTACTAGGTGCCTCTGTGGATGTGTAAGCTTTGACTTTAACATAGCTATTTCTACGACCAGTCACAAGCTAATCACTCAGCTATTTCAATGCTAAATTCTCCAGTTTGATATGTAAACCCCTTTGTCAAGGTGCCTCACTTCTCTAAACCAGCTTAAAAGACGCTACAAATCTTAACAACGTTCATTGAAGCTCTGTCATCCCGGCAGGTCTGTTCCTTTCACCTGAAGGCCACTTGTGTTGTGGCCGAAACGTCGTGAGAATTTTATTGTGTTATTTTATTTATTTATTATTTTATTCTCATTCTACGTGACTTTACCGAAAGAAACAAAGAAGATGAATCTTTGCAGTCACGAAAGCTTTAAATCGAAAAATGTTGAACTTATTTCGCACCGTACGCAGCCAACCGGGCTTATCAGAGATGCCAGTGTTTATTCGTGATTCTAAAAAATAGCTTTTGGAAAAATGCCCAGGCAGTTTCTTGCCAAGGGTATGTTATGGTTACGTTTCCTTAGCAAATATTTGATAAGTTTGTAAAATATTTCAATTGTGAACAAATAATTGTCGAGTACAAGCATAATCAGAGATGTCCGTCCCTCTGTGTGAGTCAAAAAGATCTTCATAAAAAACGGCGAAGATCACGTCGTCCACTCGCGGTTTGCGTGGCGTGGGAACGAGACATCGTGCGACGCGTCCATTGCCATCACAAACGCGAGCCTCAGTGACGTGGCCCATTACCGCTGCGAGGTCACTTACATCCCGTCGTACAAACAAGGCAGGAAGGTGATGCGTCTCAACGTGCAGGCGCCACCAGGTTCGTCCGCACTCTCTCTGCACGGATGGTGGACGTTTTCGGGCCATTTTGATGATGGTAGCAATGATGACAAGCGACAATAACGTACCGTGGTGTTTTTATTTTTCCTTTTTGTGCAGATACACCAATTCAAACAACGCCCAGAATAAATCCAGAAATCAACAACTCGATTCAAGATATAAATACACGGATCACAGTTATTGTCGTTATAGTAGTATTTCTTTTTCTCGTCGCCTGCATCTTCATGTGCTTACGATGTCGGAAACATTTTTCACGATGCCGGTGAGTTCATCGCCTCTGTTTCTTTCTCCTAATTAGTCATCTTGCCAACCACCATCCAGTGCACGCCTCCAAACCTCACCTCATCCCGACAGCTGACTTAGTTTGTGTCTGCCTCCGTTTCTCCTTGCCTCCATGTATGTGTTTTGCACTTCTTTTCCACCATACGTAGCCATTCGTTCTTATAGGAGGTGCGGGGAAGGACAAAAGCTAAACACAAAAAGCAGTTCTAAAGAAATCAGTTTGTCAATCTAGATATTTTAAAAGTGCATAGCTCCAGTGGCTTCCTAATATCAGAAGGAAGAGCATTCCAGACGGCCTCAGAAGCGCATCTGAAAGCGCGCAATGCAGTGATCATCTTTGTTTGATGGCTAGCCAAAAGCCACTGTGGGGATGACCGGTGTTTGCGTGATGATAATTTATGCTCCTTGACGAGATCATTTGCGGGGAGCAAATGAACCACACTAAAATTGAAAGATAAACATCTACAAGTTACTACGATATTATTCAAAGAGTATATATGTTTGTCTTTTAACGGTGATTCTTAAATAATGTATTATTAGTTGTAATATTAGGTTAGTAGCACATTATGTGCTCTCCAGTTGGCTGGGTGAAAAATGGGTGAAGGTTTGCCCAATCCTGGACACCTGGTATAACAAACTTAATAAACCAAATAACTAAATAATGTGGACACTATGGGAGAGGGTTGTTGGGGAAATTTCTAGGAGAAAAGATGGAACGGAGGTGAGGGTTATATTCTGGAGAACAGAAGGGAGGCGAGACGTTTATGGTTTTGGGAATGTGTTGAGAGGATGCAATGAGAAGGGCGAATGAGATTCCGCTGGTGCAGGGCTGAAGGAGTAGAGGGGAACCCAAGGGGGAGATTAAAAAATGCGGTGGAATGAGACAAATAATACAAGTGCATGGAAAATAGTAATCTGAGCAGCCAACTCTATGGAACAATGGGGCTTTGGTCTTAAAAGAAAAAGATAATCAAGTTTAGAGAACACAAAACCATTCATGAATATAACTTGTCTGGGAGTTACTAATAAGGCAATTAACAGGGGGTGGACAGAACTGATGGGTGCGACAAAGACTCGGTGACATTCAGAGCCAAATGTGGTTGTACTTGAGCGTGCCGTAAACTCTCGGTGGTTTGTTAACTGATACAAACATCCACCGTTCCCCTGGCCAGAACCCTCTTGTGAAGGTGGGGACTTGATGTTCGTTGCTTTGTTATAAAGCTTGCACTCATTACATACAAAGTGCTTGTCACAAATTAAAACCACAACAATTTTTGATCTCATTAAGGAGCATAAACCATCACGCCAACTCCATTCATCCTCACAGCAGATTTTGGCTGGCCATCGAACAAAGACGGGTACTGCATCACGTGCGTTCAGATGCGCTTCTGCAGGCACCTGGAACGCTCTAACTTCCGGTATTAGGAAGCAAATGGAGCTATGCACTTTCATTTCTAGATTGAAAGATTATTTTTTTTAGAACTGCTATTTTTGTTCAGGTTGTTGTCCTTTCCCCGTACCATCCAGTTCGTATGGATGGCTACATACGTTGCGAAATAAGTTCAACATATTAATCGATTGGCGGTGACCCGGGTCACCATCGTGACCAGGGGGTGCCAAAACCTCCATAACTCCGAAACCAGAAGGCCTATGAAGACGGGAGATGTCACTGAGTCCGATACGCACGCCAAATATGGAAATTAAAAAACACACGCAAAACACCCGTAAAAAGGGGGGCAACTGGGGATTTGTGCGTGGCAACGGCTGTTCATCGTTTGTTTTGATAGTACATCAGGATGCTGGTCTAGTCATTCCCCAGCACGTTCTGCTTCTTACGGGGGCGGCCACCATTTTTTTTGGGGAGCGAGACCACTTGGAGGCAATGGCGCACCAGGCGCTCTCTTGGTACGGCCGGCGGTCATGGTCGTGCAGGCGGGCTCGACATCGTCGTCATCATCGTTCCCAGCATCGCCTTCCGGCAGGACAGGGTAGTACCAGCGATGCTCCCAGAAAAAAAAACCTTAAACTATGCCCGGCCCACCAATATTTTTCGGTGACCCGGGCTACCGCCAATCGATTCATATGTACATAATCATCACAAGGAACCTCTGTCGACGCACCTACTGCTTAACTAAAATAGCGTTTTGTTGTCACGCGAACGAAAGTAGTTAATAACTGAGAAAACAGACGAATTTAACAGTAAAGTGATAACGTGAGCAGTTCTCTCTGGCAATACAAACAGAGCTATACATAAATCATACATCCGCAATGACAAATAACATGTCAGATTAAGTGGAGGAATTTCCATGGGTAATACTTGAAGAACGAATCACTGCCCTTCGCAGTACGAACAGGAAACGACTCTTTGACCAGACGGAATAACTGTGGCCATTTAGGAAAATATAATTAAATGAATCAATGTGAACAGCTGTCAGAACAACCCTAGTGGATCTCTTTACCAAATCTTGATTTGAAGCTTTCGTGACTGCAGGAATCCATGCTCGTTGGTTCTTTCGGTAAAGTCACGTAGGTATAAAATAAAATAAATCACGATGTTTCAGGCGCAACACAAGCGTCCGTCATCAAGTGTGAAAGCATCTTTACCAAATGTTTGCAGACAAATGAAACACAGTAAGCAATAATTAATGCTTACATCCTTCCCCTTTACAAAAAGGGAGAATTTCAGATTTGAAAAAGTACAAATCCACTTGCATAATTTTGCATGCACTGACTTTGACGATCGATTATGATATTGGAACTAAGAATGGAATTATTAGAGACAAACATTTTCTGTGAGCTATCAAGCTGAATCTAAAAAAAGGGTTTTCAACCATTGTCAACACGTATGCTCGCAGTTATATCCTAGAAAATATAATGTATTTCATATATCACTATGTCTAGCTTGTATGCGTTATGATGCGCGATTCAGTGTAAACTGTTGGGAGTCATTCAAGTATTGATCAGTCAATACCATAGTAAAGAAATATAGACGTATAGAAATTATTACATACGTTTGTAAAAATGTAATTGTTACTCTGCGATGACATAACACAACAACATACTAGTCTGATGGGGAGCAACAGAAACGGAGAATGGATTACCATCTCGGATTGGCTGACGACATGGTCATTGCAGCAACCGGCTGAAATGAACTATGACGGAACTAATTACACATAGGGATCTGTGATGCTGTGTTCAATTTTGCATGTTAATACCTGGAATGCATCGCGATGTGTTGACATTCGCTTGTGATATATTGTCTTCATATGTATTGGCCAATTGAAAGACAACGAACGGAACAAAGCCACAACACAGGTGGTAAGTACATTGGCACACATGTATTCAATTGTAATATGTTTGACATGTTTTATATACAATGTGATGCTCCATATGTGTGATCTATACACAATTGGCCAATGTATGTTATCTATACACTTAATCGATGTGTGTGATCTTTACACCTACTACATGTGTGTGATCTATGCAACAACATTCACTATTCGCCACTAAGTGGCTGTGACGTCACCATGGCTCTTGTGCTTGGCTAAGTGCACTTTAAGGTCATGTGAAGTGTCGAACGCCAACTGGCAGGAGGTCACGGGACAGACCCAGGTGCCATGGGTTGACTGACTCAGACGACTGGCAGATGCACCACCTGTGCCCCCTACTGTGCCAACTTGCTGTCTTTTAGCCGCCTGATGCTCCACTCGTTGTTGTGAGTGTCACTCCTCTGCCCTCCGTTGTTGCTGGAGGGCGACTGCTTCCAACTGCCCAATACCGTCCTTCACGAGCCTCCTCCATAGAGGCTGATCTTGACACCGCTGGTACCTGTCATCTACAAGTGGAGGGAAGCCTGGGAAAACATCCAGTCGATTAAAGCTATAGACACCAACTTCACGTGTATGATCTAGACACCCACTCCATATATGATCTGGACACTCCATGTAGGATCTGGAGACCGATTGTGAACAATATGAATACGTGCTTAATACGCTGGTTATGTTGGGTTGGCTGGTAATGTCATGGATGGAGGCACTCATAACTATTTCTTACCAACGTAGGATCCCCACAATCTATTGGGGGCACTGACTATTGAAGACATACATCTTTTGACTGTGATGCTTCTCGAAGTGATGATGATGTCATATGGAGTAATAGTAAGATATTATAGTTTGATGTTAAATATAGATCATTGCTCATGATAAAGGTTTTTGGGTTAGATCGCGTTATTTATAAATGTGTCGTAACCCCCTACACCCAAGAGTTACGACACAATTATAAATGACGCGATCTAACCCAAAAAACTTTATTATGAATAATATTGGTCGTACAGTGCGAAATAAATTCAATATACTTACATATTGCTGTACTCCTAAGCTGGTTCGTTTATGCACTGTGTACATGTAGACACGTAGCCCACGTAAGCAGCTTGGTATGGGGAGACCCTCATCCAGGAGTGTATTGACAGACGCACAAGAAAGGATGTACCTGTCTCAGTATGGGTACTTCTTTTTTCAGCTCCAGGAAATGGAGGACGTAATGAGGAGGAACCGGAGGTGATTCCGTTGCAGAGAAATCCCTAGTCTGCAGGTATTATTTTATGTATTGGTTTCATCAGACCCTTGGGGAGATTATACACTTAACAACAACACCTCGATGTCCTTACCAACAACACGATGTCCTTAACAACAACAACAACAAACCGGGTGTCCTTAACAACAACACTGTGCCCTTAACAACACGATGCCCTAAACAACAACACCGTGTCCTTAACAACCACATGGTTCCCTTAACAACAACACGTTGTCCTTAACAACAAGACGGTTTTCTTAATAACAACACGATGCCCTAAACAATAACCACCTGGGTCCTTAACAACCACAAGACGGTGCCCTTAACAAACGATGGCCATGGTTCACTTAACATTAACATGATGCCCTGTGATGTTCTCAGATGCTGCGTCTTAACGTGTCGAGCTCATGAGCGCCAACACCTAGAAAGAAGAGGCGACATCCTGGCAGGTGGGGGGTTACCAACCCGACCTGACCAGCAGGGTGAATTATGATTAAAATAGGACTGCAAGAAGCCTCTGCAGCAGTTGGAAACCCCGAGCATGTTTTACCATAATTTCTCACCTCCAGCCAGCGTTTCCCACTGCAGAGGCGTCTTGCAGTGCTACTTTCACAATGTTTCCTCACGGTGAAATGTGGTAAAGGTTTGTTGAATAAATCTATATCTCAGGGGCCATTAGATAATATTCCTTAGTTATATGATGCCACTAATTTCCAAGAGGTTTGCCCAAAGAAAATTTAGTTGCGTCGGAAATTAACGCTAAGATTATACATTGCAATACAGTAGAAATGTATTATTGATATTAATTCGTCATCTTCATCATCAGCCGTGATCTGTCTATGACTGAATGAAGGTTCTACCCCTAAGCCATCAGTCACCATCTCTCAGGGTCTGCCAGATGCAACAATCCATCCTGGAGTTGCACACCAGCTGCTTTCATTGCTCATTGTGCTTCGTCTGCCACTCTGGCATTATTCGTCATCATATGAATGTATGTTGACTTTCTTTTGCACAGTACCTAGCCATCCGTGCTAATCGGAGGTGCGGGTCAAGGAAAACAAACAAAATACAAAAAGTAAATGTAAAGACATGAGTTTTCAATCTAGATGATGTAAAAATGTGTAGCTCCAATGGCTTTATAATATCGGAGGAAAGAGCATTCCAGTTGACTGCAGAAGCGCATCTGAAAGCGCACGATGCAGTACACAAAAGCGTGGTCACCACATCTACGCCTCTATATAAGGAACGAAACAGACTTCTCCACAAACCTGGTTGTCGCCCGACGAAGCTAGTTGTAATTACTGGCGAAACGTCGTACTCAGATTGTAAATGTTGTGGCTTGGCTCTCCAACACACCGGTGTGCTGTACTAGTGACGAATTGGCATGTTCTGTTTTACGTGACAACCCTTCCTCGTTGGCTGTGTCGGATAGTGGCGGGTTTTAACGACACATTTATACGTGTACGCGATCTAACCCAAAAAAACTCTATTATGGAGTAACCGTCTTTGTTCGATGGCCAGCCAAAAGTGAAGTGTATACTGTAATGTATAGTGTAGGGTATAGTAGTGTAGTGTACAGGGTAGTTTATAGTGTGGTGCATAGTGTAGTATATAATGTAGCGTGCAGTTTATAGTAGGGTAGTGTAAAGTGCAGTGTAGTGTATAGTAGTTTAGTATATGGTGTTGTCAATAGTATATTGTCTAAGTACATTGTTAGTGTAGTGTATAGTAGTGCAGTGTATAGTAGTGTAGGGTATAGTAGTAGTGTATAGTGTAGTTTATAGTGTAGTGTATGTAGCATATGAAAGTGCATGAAGCGGTGACCGTCTTTGTTCGATGGCCAGCTAAAAGCCGCTGTGAGGATGATCGGAAATCACGTGATGGTTTATGCTCCTTGACGAGATCAGCAAATGTACTGTGGTTCAATTGTGGCAAGCACTTTGTGTGTAATGAGTGCGACCTCAGAATCTATTCGTTCGTCAACCGTAAGCCAATTTACTAACTTCCAGCAATGTGTCTTGCCCAGGACCCACTTGCTTTTCTTTTCCAGTCACTGTGAGATCTCTCACGAGTAAATAGCCTCTAATCCAAACACTCCTCTTATCACATAATTCCAAACATGCACGACTCTGTACTTCGTTGCATACTTTTCAGCGTTTTGTTTAATCGTTTTGTCCAGTATTCACGTTTCAGATCTATAGGTCAGAGCAGGCAACATTGGGTTATTATCAATCTGTCACGGGATAATCGTTCAATGTAAATTTGGTCATATAATTATTTATTGCCAGCTAAGACAATCAAGGCAAAAAGCACAGTGATTTTCCCACCAAAGCATCGTTTAACTTGTGATTATACTCGTTTTTTTACCACATGTTCCGTTATTGCTATGTTTAAAATACTGTATTTAGATAATGCGACTGTATACAATGCAGTATAATCCTCATGTAATACCATGTTTGATTGGAAATCGGTGATACTACGATTAGTGATTTTTTTATGGCTGATTGTGCAGTTATACTTACAAAAATAACATTTACAGTTCTATACTATAAGCCGGGGTGGAAATGAAGGAGGCATATCGCCGTGTTGGGAGATGTGTCAAGTATGGAGAAATAAAATTCGCTGTCAGAATCTGGGGTGATGCAGTGACTTTTTATTTTGATAACAGATTGAACACCTAAGGAGATGGCAGGTTTTCAGTACAGCATTTACTTAAGAAAGTGAAATTCACCAAGTTTGTTTTAACGTCATGTGAAATACAAATGTGTGTGTGTCGCTGTTAGTGGTATGTGCTGCGCGACGAACCCGGGGATCTGATTTCGATTCCCGCTCACAGTCAACACCAGTGGTGATTATCTGATCCGGTACTGGGCCTCCCCTAAATCGACTTCGCCTTAAATGAGTATCTGGTGCCGTGTGTAAATATCGCTACTCGGGAGGCAAAGGCGGCCGGGCGTGCGGGCGTGATTCTAGCCACTCACCCCCTCGTGTGCCTCAGTGCCGGCCTTCATAGGCGCTGCTGTTGCTGGCTAACAACACTTGCTCTCCAGCCTGCTCAGGTCCCCCGACCTTTGTCTCCTTCATAGGCGCTGCTGTTTCTGCTACTCGCTAATAACAGCACTTGCCTAAACAGTTTATTAAAGGCTACACGGGGGAACCTTTGTCTTTGTTTTTTTACGTCCTCGGAAGCTTAACAGTCTTCTTCTTTGGTTCTTTCGGTAAAGTCACGTAGAATGAGAATAAAATAATAAAATAAAAATAGGACAATAAAATTCTCACGTTTCGGCCACAACACAAGCGACATTCTTCAGGTGAAAGAACAGAACTGTCGGGACGATAGTGCTTCAATAATTGCTGCTGAGATTCGTGGCGTCTTTTAAGCTCGGTGATAGGTGTGAACCACGTAGAAAGCAGGAGAATTTAGCATGGAAATAGCTAGGGATTAGCTTGTGGCAAAAAATAGCTGTGTTAAAGTCAAAGTTTACATATCAACAGAGGCATTTAGTATTTGGACGCTAAAGGGCCTCCAACTACCCAACTATCATACAGTAAACCATTGTGAGAAAAAACTAAGTATATTACATCAATATAATAATTGTACTTAATATATTCTTCAATAAGCTGAGCTATTAATCACAAAGCAACTGGGTATACACTACACTATATAATGAATACCATATAGCAAAATCAATGAAAACAAAATATAAACTACCTCAATGTTATCAATAAACTCTATATACTCTCCAATCAGCTGAGCCACCAACAATAAGTCGTTATATATCACAATGCCATATTGCGAAAAATGGCGGTTTTTCTTCCCATCAACGACCAGCACCACGGACAACGAACGAGCTTCGTTCAGAGGGACGAGTCAATCCATGCTCGGGAACGGAAGAGGGAGAGAGACAGACATAATGCGTTGTTATACTCCATGTTATAAACAATACCATTAACCATGGTGTGAGAGGTATTAGGCAATGTCAGCGAAAGAGCTGCGGTCTGACGGTAACTGTAAAATACAATTAATTAAGAACCGAAATGGTTTAAAACATCTTTCCAATGGTTACTAAGCCAGAATCCATCTTCTCGGTTGAAATTGTCTCTGTGCTTGTATATATGTGTAGTGGGTTCGAATTAGGTGCACACACGACTCCTTGGGAGGCAACGCTGATTTATTAGAACGGTAAGTAATATAACACTGCACATAAGGTGGTGACCACCGACCTACTCTAGCCAACACATACTTCTCAAATACTCTAGCGTGACCCAGCCAGGTGGGCTACTGCCAGGTCCGCTGACTGGAGGCTTGACTCTTCTTGGCGTCTTCACGATGCATCTTCGTTCTTGATACGGGCAGCCTCGAACCTCGTGAGGAGGCTGCTTATATGGGCCTCGGCGTGCCCGGGCCCCGCCCTGGCCACGCCTCCCTTCGAGAACCCTCTCGAAGCCCCCCTGCTGTCCACGTGCCCTCGGAGGTGCCCCCTAGGCCCCCGGCCCCCACTGGGGTCCAGTCACGTGTCCAGCCGGGGTCACAGAGAGTGCCACGGCCTCACACCACCCTCGTGGCCTCCCGAGCCCAGAACCGGCCCTGACGTCATTCCCGCCTCCAGCCGGGATGACGTCATGCGTGTGTAGACCCGCGTGGGCATGACGCTCCCCCGCATAGTGACGTCACGCTTGTGTGTGTGTACACAGTAGTGATGCTACCATCACCACATCACCCTCCCCCATGTAAAAAAACAGCCGTCTCGGCTGTGACAATACAGAAAAAAAACAGTGTGCCTCCAACATCAACAAACAACCGGTGACCGACAATAATCACCCCGAGAAACATATGTACACACACCGAGAGGGGGGGAAGGGAAGAATGTATGGAATGAGGGGAACCAACAACCACATGTACACCAAAAGAACTGGTCAACCCACTTATCCCTCAGCACAGCCCATCCGTGTGAATTTGTACGCATGCACCGACATATGAATGTGGCTGCTTGACAACAGTGTAGGAATCAACAAGGTGTGAGAGTCATGGACAGCGGCCAGTCTTCAAACGAATTCGCGTGGCCGAGCCTCCAGGGGAGGCGAGCACGCTCTCCCTGGAGGTCCTGGGGGAACTTGAAAAAAGCCCAAAAAGGGCACGGCCCCTCCCCACGAGTTGGGCAACAGGATGAGCAGGAGTGACGTACGGGCGCTCCACTCTCCCCTTCAAGTCCACATTCGGTCAGCACAACCAGCGACTCCAAGGGTGGCAGGTGCAGGAATCCTGTGACAAGAAGAAACCACCTCCTGAGGCACAGCACCACAAGCCCACGCCTCAGCTCGTCGGACACGACAGCCACCCGGCCCAGGGAAATGGAGATGATCGTATTCCGCCCGGCGGAAGAAATAAAACCAAAAATACATAGATTCCGACGCGTTGGATGCACAACCAACATCGGTAAATCAAACCAAAACCACACAACCACCCCATGGATGGCAGGGTCTCACACTGCCCTGTTACCGTTCCACCCCACAGGTGGCAATAGGGCGAAGACTGAAAGTCTAACACCCACCTACAAACACCACTTAACATTCCGGACGTCTCCCTACGTCCCAGGTCAAGAAGTCGCACTTCAGGGTCGACCCATGTACTGGCTCAAGGAAGTCACTCTTCAAGGTCGAGCCAGTATGCTGGAACCAAAGGTACAACCGTTGGATGTTGTACAACATCCCGGGTCAAGGAAGTCATGCTTCCAGGTTGACCCATGTACTGGGCAAAGAAGTCGCACTTCAGCGTTGCCTCAGTATCCAAATTTTTTGTAAAAAAATGTTAAATCGACGTGACAAAAAAAAATGCCTGCTCTTGCCCAGAAATGGTTTACACAAATACCCATGCACGTACAAAATGGCGGCCACATGCACGAGCCGCATCCCCTGCGGTTTCCCACGCTCACACAAAATGGCTGCCCCACGCGCGTTTTCCGCGCTCGCACAACTCAGAAGCCCTCCCTTGAAGGCCAACCCAGACATCTCATGCCACTCGGAAGCAACCCTCGCCTTTCCGACGCGCACGTGTCGGCCGTATCGGGGGAATTATAACCCAGTCTCTCCAAGACTCGCATCGCAGCATATAGCTGTTCCGACCGAGCTGAGAAGACACAAGAACACCTCTCACCAGGACTCGCATTGCAGCAATCAGCTGTCCCAACCGGGTTGAGAGGACACACCAACCCCTCTCTCCAAGCCTCGCATTGCGGCATTTAGCTG